CAGTGTATACCTGTTTTTTTCCAGGTGAATAGTGTGGGTCCTCCCTTCAATGGCCAGCTCGTACTGCAGCGTGTCGGGATAAAGCTGCAGGAGAATAACAGTCACAACCACTGACAGTTCAACTCAGACTAGTATTTAATTTAACTTTGCAGTTAAGTTTTCACTGACGTACGAGTTCTTCTGGGGAATCTGTCTCTGATACAGATGCTAAAACAGCAAATTATCTTTATTATGGAGCTGAATTGATTTTAGTTTATTGCAGATATTAAGATGTTTGCGTGTAAAAAACAGAAAAATGCAAAAGTTGTGTTTGAAATCAGCAAATACATCATTTCAGTGTTTAATATCTTGACACTAGGGTCGATATCATTACATCATATCCACAGATACTGAACCTTTACGTTTGTATTGAAGTGTAATATTTTCCTCTGAATGACAGAGAACATGTATAAATATCAGGTGTGTTTGCAGAGAACGAGTGGATGAGCTGTGTTTGTGTGTTGTGCAGGTGAGGAGCTGCAGTCACCTGCTTCTCCTTCAGGCTGCTCCTCTGCAGCCTCTGAGGTCTGACCACCTCGTAACGCTCCACGTGAGACAACAGACCCGAGCTGTGCACGAAACAAACTGCACACAGACAAACAACAGCGGGGTTATTCACTTCATCCCAGTGTGGAGGCGATGCTCTGCAGGGTTTTTTAAATACCACACAGACTCCACCTGACTCTGACTCTAGAATAAAAGACCTGCAGGGTTGACGAGGCCTCCGTTCATAAGCACGACATGTTTTTTAACTTTTCTATCACATTACTGTCAAACCCTCGGTTCAGGAACTTAAACACGCGTTGGACGAGCAGGACGAAGCTGATGGATTAAAAAAAAGAACTAAATCACTTTAACGTGAATCTGAACTGTAGATTTTTACAGTTTTGTGTTTATTGAAATAAAAACACATATTATTTATCACTGAAAACATGGATTCAACGATGCTGTAACTGAGATAACAGTTTTTTAAAATCATAAAGAACAGATTTAAACAGTATTGAATCATCACTGATAATGAGTCTGCAGCTCCACACTAGGAATAAATCCTGAGACACAACTTGTGACCTGAGGACTCGTCGTGAATAACTGGAACTGAAGCAGCTTGTTTTCAGGAACAAGTTTCCAAACAGCAAGAATTAAAAAGATGAATAATAATAATAAATAAAGAGAAGAAGTTTTTTTACCCCACGTGAACCACAGCGGCCTCATGTTCCCTCTCTGGCCCGGGATGAAGCGCTCTGCTCGGTCACCGCTGCTCCTCTGACCCGTTAACTCTCCTCCGTCAATCAGTCCGGTCAGACTCCGCCCCCACTCCACACTTAGCACCGCCCCCGCCGCCCCACATTTACCGGAAACAAGCTGCCGTCAAAATAAAGTCACAAGAAATTAGACCTGGCTTAGACCTCGTTAGAGTGAGGCTTTTCAAAATAAAATCACTATTCTGATCATCACAGAGGTGAGATTTCTTCAGAATGAGAAACAGCTGACGTGTTTGAAAAGCCACACTTAATAATATGATTAAAACAATTTATAAATAATAATAATATTAATTATCATTTTGATGATAAAAGATTTTCAACGAACTTTCACGTCTTGTGAAAACAAAGTTCTCAGCCAGTCGACAGTTTTGCACCTTTAGGGAAATGAAGCATAATTTAAATCAAATTAAACTTGTTTTTGACTCTAGTTCTAAGCAATGATCAATTTTAAATATTCCTCAAATTACTATATTAGGAAACAGCATCAAGATTTGTGCATGCTTTTATTTTGAAGTTGGTTTCATTGTTTTTCCGGTATAAAATCATTATTCATGCTCGACTCATCAAAAAAGTATTTTTATAAAAGATATTGTTGTGGATGGATTTTCAGAATCCCCAATAAGATTTGAGTTTATGTTATTATATTTATGATTATTACAAAGTGTGAGTTAATGTGAGTTAAGACATTATTGTTTAAACCAGCAGGAGCATGTATACGATGTCAGTAATAATCAACTTCAGATATTCCACAGTAGAAATACAGCTGCACATTCTTCAGGTCTCATTGTTTTTCTGCTTCACTGGATTTTCTGTTAATCGCATTTTTCATCCAATAACTCAAAGAATGAATTAACCTGAACCATTAAACATCACATTAAATAATAAATTATTCATTATGTGTTTATCTTCAGTTAGTCAGTTTACTGAAGGTCTCAATGGTCCAGTCTGTAGTTTCTACGAGCAACAATCAAATCCAGTGTTGAGTTGAATCCAAGCTTCATTCAGTAAAGTCTCGTTTTATTGAAGTGCAAAACAAACATACATGACTGTACAGACACAACAAGAGGCGAGTGAACATACTCATAAACATATCAGTTACACAGGTCTTAAAATGTACATGTGAGGCTTTGATGCTGCAAACATGAGGACGTTTAACTCCGCATCATATTTAATGTTCACACTGGTGCGGTGAATATCTGGGCGGTTGCTGCAGCGCTGATGGAGGTGTGAGGAAAGGACGTATGTGTTGCTGAGTGACGGTTGTAACACTCACACATGAGCAGGACATGCTACACTGCAGCTTTCTGACTGCGCTCGATGGCCATCCGCTCCAGACGCTCCGTGTAGAATCCATTGAAATCCAGCCTGTGAGACAATGACAAAGACAGTTTTTATCGTTAATCTGTTATCAAACATTTTCCTCTTTGCACATTTCCCAAGTCCGAGTCCAATTTTCACTCTCGTTTTACAGGAACTCTTCGTCCACTCTGTTTGAACACTGTTGTGACAGAGTGGAGGATCCTCGCTCATTAAGGATCTTTGGCACTTTAATCAGATGACATCAAAGTTTAATGTTGCCTTGTTATCGAGTTACTCACAGAATAAACATTGATTAGTGTCAACTGATATAATCTGCTGCTGCCAACGTCTCATTCTAACCAGCAGCTGCCACAGATGGAGGCAGAACAACAACATGAATATTTTGTAACATGATCTTTGGGACATATTGAAGAATAAGTTATTAAAAAATGTAAATATATATATATATATAAGACATCGTAATTTAATGAGGAAAAAGTGAAGTGGCTCTAATACTCCATCGTACTTTGCAAATGTTTATCAGCAGCAGATCGTAGAAGTAAGATCCTGATTATCTTTGGTGTGAGGGTTTTTCTCACCTGTAGATGATGCTGATCATGCTGTGTTCACAGTCGTTGGTGCTGTAGATGCTCAGCTTGTCCAGCAGGTCGAGCAGCAACTTGCTGAAGTTACTATCGAACTTGCTGATGGCTGCTTCAAAGCCTGCGTCGGACTGGAGGGCGTCCACGTGCTCGGCTAAAAACTGAAGCCGCAAATGAACACAAATATAACGTTGCGGTGAATTTGTAAAATATTCAGACACCTTCACTTAGATTGCTGCCTTATGCATAAATAAAAACTAGTTCATCAATCCGTTCTCTGTGCCCCATAAACACAAAGTAAAAATCTGTTTTAGAAATTAATTGAAAAAGGAGAAACTGAAATGTTGATTAGTTGGAATTCTTGTGGTTTAGTTGTCATATTTCTGAAAGTACACAGTGTACTTCTTCAAGTATCATTTAAGGGGGTGAAGGTCACAGTGATGGATGTTTTGGAAATACCTTCGTGGTCTGTCGCTTCTTCTCTGCCTCCTCAGCGGGTTTGCTCTGAGTCGGAGGCCCGTCCATGGTCTCTTGCTCCAGAGAGAGACGTTCTAACCTCAGGCTCTGAGTGAACTTCTGCAACCGTCGCAGAAAACAAGACAATCAGCTGGTTCCCTTTTCAGGTTTCATTAAAAAAAAAAAAGTTTAAATCTAGTTTAAAGAATTCAGACATCATAAGTCGATCTGTTCTTCATCATCAGGTACACTCACCTGCATGCAGTTTGTGAACATGACGCAGACAGACATGAGTTTGGAGAAGATCCGGAGCAGCTCGGGGTTGGTCAGCATGCAGTCCTTCAGGCAGTTGTCCAGGAAACTGGTGTGATGGCAAAGCACGTCATCGATGTTTGACGCCTGGAGGAGGAGGAGGAGGAGGAGGAGGAGGAGGAGGAGGAGGAGAACGTTTTCTGTAAGTGTCCCGACAACAAACTGAAAACCAAGTCACGAGTTTAGCGACACATTGGGACAAGAGAGCAGTAGTTTCCACTCACAGTTTTCAGGTTGGTCTCCATGATGTGCCAGGTGGGCTCCATTACCTCAAACATCATGTAGTACTGGATATTCTGCACAAAGTTCAACATCCGCTGTCGAAGAGCAAACGCAGTAGAAAACCTGCAAACAGGCAGTTTGAACAGAGTCCATGAGGACGTTTGGTTTGCAGAGATTTTTCTTTTATGTAAAGTTCCATTAAAAACTCTGCTCACCATTTGGCAGAATGTAACGCGTACTGCCTGAAGTCCTTGTTACTGATCCAAACATTGCACAGCAGCCTCTCCACATGTTTACAATAAAAGATGTGTCTGAATAACATCTGGTACCTCGTCAGAGCTTTCCTGCAAAGTAAACACATATTACACTGTATACTGAATGTGTCTCGTCAACAAGGACACAGAAAGTCTGTTACGAACACGTTTTATCTGCGTATCCAAAGCTGATAAATTACCCAAAAACAACTGAACTGATTTCCACTAGAGGATGGAACATGGTCCCAGAAAGAACTTATTTAATTTTGGGGCAGATCCTGTGAATCCATTTTTTGAATTGTACGTGTTTGAATCCGAGCTGAAGCGACAGAAACCTGAAGATAAAACCTGTAAAAACCTGTTGATGATGAGCGAGAGCGGCCACTTGACAATATAGTCGAAGGAGAAGGCCTCCAGGCCGCTCAGGACCACGTCCGTCGGGTCTGCATTGATGATGGCCTTTTCTTGTTTGGTCTCGATGGCCAACACCCGCAGCAGCTGCGTGATGACATCATGAGGCATTAAGTCGATCTGTGGAAAGAGGAAGTCCAAACGTTATGAGAGAGAAACTAATGTACAGTATCATGAGATAAGTGTGTGACCGGAGGAAGACGACTGGAGAGACGCCATTAGGTTCCTGTAGTTGTTGTTTTTGTCTTTTTATCTTCCTTGAGATTTTTTATTTTTTATTCTTTGTGTCCAAATGATTTTTCAGGAGAAACTTTGCGGTTTTACATAAACTTGACTTTGTAACTTTACTCCGAGCCGACGTAACTTTGAGAAATAAATCTATAATCCCGACCGATCTGAGAATTTAGAAAGAGAATGTAATTTGATAGAATCACTAAAGCTGATTACAGCAGCTTTCATTGTTCTACTGAAAATTGTAGGGATGGATACATTTTTTTACAACCATGTCCGTCTAACTCTGATCATTAAAATCAAAAGCTCCACCCACCTTGAGGTCGTCTTTGAACGGGTCTGTGTTGGCCGTACTCATTCTAAGAGCGAGCTCCAGCAGGGCTTCGAGTCGCGGGGGAACGATGTCGTCCACCGGCTTCTTCAGCTCCTCCTCCGTCAGGTCCATGAAGTGCACGAAGAAGTCGCCTTTGTCCATCAAAAAGTAGTGCTTGATGGATCTGAGTCAAAACAACACAGGCACTTATAGTTTTAGAGACACATTTTCCAGAGGGGCTTTATATCCTCATCCTCGGTCTCTTTTCTTTCCTGTAACTCCACCGGGAGCATTTATACTTTACCTCAGTCGTGAAACCAGCTCCTTCTCTTCCATGAGGAAGTCCAGCAGGACCTTGCTGGCATAGTTGTAAGCTTTCTCGATCTGCTCCACGTACGCCCTCTCCTTCAGAGTGTACAGGACCTCCTTCGCATCAGGACACGTCACGTCACGGCCGCATTCCCGCACCACATTCAGATATTTTCCTAAAATATAAATCACAAAATAAACCCTTTTAATCTAGGAGGACTCTTCAGTGTTGTGTTTGTTTTTTGACCTTTTGTTTACCTGTGCTTAATATTTTGTCGGCCATTTTCTGTAGAAAGGAGGGAATGCGATGCTGGACGATCGTGTATCTCTGATCCCAGTACTTGTCGTTGTAGTCCTCCTGAATCTTCTCTTTCTGCAGCTCATGTTCTTCCACCATGAACTCACTGTGAAACAAAAACACAGATAAGACAGATTTCAAATCAAACATAACCAAAAGGCGAAGACTCAGAGTGTTGGTGTTTATTGAGGAAGCAGCTGCACCTGTACGGGTCCTTGATGATGCCTCTGTAGATCCACTTCTCCAGAATTTCAAAGTAAGGAACGCTGGCTGCTTTAGTCAGGTAGAGACACAGCTCCTGAGCCTGGCTGTCTCCAGTGAAGTTGAAGGTCCGGTCATGGAGAAGGCTCAGTGTCGAGCCGCCCATACAGTCTCCTTTATCCACTGAGGACGCTGTGAGAATAATAGAAGAAGTTTATTTCATTTCATGAAGACACTGAGCATCTATTTTTGAAATATGTGATAAATGTTTTGGACGCATTGTGAAATACACTGATGACATTCATCTCCCTCAATCTGGTTCAGACTGTCCTCCAGTGGTCAGAATGAGCAGCTGCTGTTCACATGCAGAAGCTGAGGATTCACCAGCAAAGACTAAATATACAGGTATGTTTTTACAGCATCAGCTGATATTAACGTGCAGGTCAGGAAACCTTCAAAATAACCTTTAAAAAATAGAAAATGAGTGTCTCCTGATAGTTTTTGCATTTTACTCAAAATGAAATTAACCAACATAAGAAATGCTTCATCTGATGAAAAGAACCTTTTGCTGTTGAAACAATTATTTCTTCTTTTTTCCATGTGAGCTACAGAGCTGACTAACAAGTTCAAAGCAGGAGATGCTACACTGATCATTAAAAAAATCAAATAGAAGGAAAGCTATCACTCATATTGAGTCCAATGCCACCACCTTCACATTAAACCTGGTTACAAATGCAGAGTCGTACCGATACAGGCCAGAATCTCCATGGTTCTCATGGTGGGCTGGATGTAGAACCAGAGTTTCTGCAGGGACAGCAGGCCCTGCCGCTGGAGATGCTCCAGCTGAGTGACCAGAATCAGATACTCCTTCATCAGGGTCCTCATCGCCGCTGTCAGGGCGTGGTTCACCTGGCCGTACTCAAAGGACGACTTCTCCTCAATGAAGCTGAAGGACCAACACGTCACCATTTAATTCTGCTGCGACAGTCAGATGCTGAATATGAAGTAGAGCCTGAGCAACTCACCGTGTTATAGTGGAGTAATACGATGCGACTGGTAATATTCTGTTAACCAGCTCTTTGATAGACATGTCCAGTGTTGAGTCGACAATGAAGGAGCGGTTCTGCCTCCCCAGCACAGGCTGAGCTGTGATGTCGCGCCCATCAACTCCGATCAGGACAAACAGCAGATCCTCCACCAGAGCTTGTTCCTGAGTGGCCATAGGCATGGTACCTGACGGCAGATTATTAAAACCATTATAAACATTAGTAACAACGATGACAAACAGACATTTGTTTGTTTAACAAGCTCAGTATTTAAGCTGAACACAGCAGAGATGAATCTAAAACTTAGAAATTGATTTACCGATGGCCACCGGAGGATCTCCTGGTGGCGTGGGGCTAATGACGAAGTCTCCGAGGAGAGCAGGACGGTCGTACACCCAGTTAGGAAACACTGGGTTGGGTTGGGTGGGGTTCTTCTTGTTGTGTTTGTCCCTCAGCATCTTCCGTGTGACTTCCGCAGGCTGCGGGCAACCATCACAAAGACAGACGTGTTCATTACAAGCAGCACTTAAATGTGTTTAACCTCATGCTTTCATGGGCCAACCTAACCCTCAGACATGCTCACCAGAGGAGCGGTGGAGCTGGCCGTCACGTTGCCGAGCTTCTTGCGCAGCTCATCCAGTTCCTGCATGGACATCTTGGTGCTCGTCTGAGGCAGAGAGTAACTAGTAGTGGTGGTTGATGTTGTGTTTGCCGACGACTCTGCCCTCTCTTTGGCATTCTGCTGCAGAGACTGGAGCATCTACGTACAAAGATGTGACCAGCTTTAAGATGAAAACACAGTAATCTTTGTCTATATCTACGATGAATACAATCATCAAGTGGTAGCAGACAAAGCCATGTAACTATCAGCTTGTTAAGAATTGATTACCTCTTTATCCTCACAGAGTTTGGACAGCAGATAAACCAAAGGGTCGAGGTGACGGACATTTTTGGACTTGAGCTCCTCATACTTCCTTAAGAAGTCCTCGGGGGTTTTAGAGAACTCTGCTAATTTAACCTGAAGAAAACACAACAGCCAATAAGACATTCCTACTGTAAAAAACTGATTTATTTTCACGAGAGGTTTCACAGATTATTTTCACAGCGACACTTCATTCAACTTTGTCTTTCCATATCTGAAAAGTCACATTACAGCATTCACACCTTTGTGTTACCCACAGGTTGCATTACTCACCTTGGCACTGTGAGAGGAGACTGTGGTGGTGACATAGGGAGTCCTGTGTTTCTGCAGTAAGTCAATGTAGCCCTCTGCTCCGTCACCTCCTCGGACATGAAGCAGGTTGAGCAACTCGTTCACATCGTGATGGATCCTGTACTCACTCATTACTCAGGCAGCTGAAATGACAACAGAGTTCTTCTAAGTTAAATGAAAGACTTAAGCTGTTAGAGTTAAACAACAATTCTGTTAATTAAATAACTATTTAGATGATTTTTAAGGAACAATTCCTTATGACTGGTTTCAGTTTCTCAAATGTTTATCTGTCAAACGTGTTCATAAACTGAATATCTCTCTCTGGCCTATTGCCTGAGCAGAAACTCTTCAGCCATTCATCTCCATGTGTGCATGTACAGATATAAATACACTTTCAAATCTGAATAGATATTTGAAGATACTTTCTGAATATGTACACAGATGTTATTACACATTTTGAGATTATTTCACAGATCTAGTTACAGACGAATGGAGACTCACATCTGTCAATGAATGATACTGAAACAGGAAAGAGAGAAAGTCTGAAACTTTAAAATGTCTTCTTGTTCATTTTGCTGAACAACTGATGTTTGACTGTGTTGTGGACAGAGCACAGAAGCTAACACGTTAACACTGTTAGCTTCTACTGACAAACTCCCGCCGCGGAACAGCGGAGTCATCTGGATGTTTGTCCCCGCAGGTGATTCAAAAGGTCGCGGACATGAACCATCGTCTCATCGGCTCACAGCGGAGCAGGTAACGTTATTACAAGCTAGCAGGCTAACTAGCCCCAATGCACACGAGCCTGGATGATGCTAACTGACAGCTAGCTTAACTGTTAATGCAACGAATTGTCCGTGAAGAGTTAAAATGATGTGATGAACGAATCGAAGCTTGAGTGAAAGTCAAAGTGACGTGTTGTTACTGTACCTGTCAGCCGCGTGCACGACACAACAACAACAAACAACAACAACAACAACAAACAGCAGAAACAGCAGCGCGCCCACAGCAGGTCAAACTCTTCTTCTCGTACTGTTTCCTCCGCAGCCGCAGTGCAACACCGCCCCCACAGGTCAAACACATCAACTACACCAATGCTTTACAACATTAAAACACTTTTCAGTCAAATGAAATAAAAGTTATGTTTAATGTCACGATAATATAATAATTCTCAGTCATATTTACACCAGTAAATTTCACGTCTTTTCCCAGAGTGGCATTTTTACAGTTTTGGGGTCATTCTTTAGATTAGAATGCAATTTATCACATAAAACAAATTAATTAATGATGAAAATAATCATTAGTTACAGTCCTAATGGTTTAGGATGTTTTGTTTCCACCACAAAGAGAACCACATATTATTCTGAAGATAAACGTAGTTAAATTAATACATTTATCTTTGCATTTCATATAACTGCATGAAATATGTGACAAATTTCATGTAGTTTATTTTTATATGCTTTTTTGCAGTACAATATAGAAACAATGCCATTTGTAGAAAATGTCTTGAAGAACAATTTAAAGCAAAGTAAAATAATTCATGATGTTTTCAAACAAAAATACTGTAGCTCCAGCTACTCTAAGGATTTATAATATAACTATTGTTATTATTATTATTATTATATAATTATATGAGTATTATTATATTATTATTGTTGTTCATTTGTTTTAATATACATTTATATGTATAGCTTTTTTCCCTTGTACACTGAATCATCTTTAGGTTTTTACATTTATTTTCCTGCACCTGCTCCTCTGCAGAGGATCATGTCTCAAATGCAATGTCAAAAATAACATCTTAATAAAGCAGGTCAACTTTCTTCACACTCTCAAACACTTACGATCACCATTCTTATTTGTTTCTAAATATTTCACACAAACGAAAGACTTGAATCTTCACGCGCTTTTATTTTGAAAAACCATGACACGGCGGAAGTAAACAATAATCACGTTACAACCCGGAAGTGCTGTCTTTGGGTGATTAACGTGTGAAAAGAGCAGAATGATCCGTTTCTCCAGTGAAGACGCGTTAATGGAGAATCTGCTCGCCCCGTCAGGCCTCTGCTAGTCTCCCCCGTGTGTGAAGCTCCGGAGCCAGAGGCGGTCCAGTGTGAGCAGCGACGCCCCGATGCCCGCGTCCCCGACGGAGACAAACCAGCTCTCTGTGTTTACACCCCGGTGGAGAGCGGCCGTGTCCCCGCAGTGTGTCGTTAGCTAACCGAGCGGCCGCGACTCTTCTCCAGGCGAGGACGGAAAAAAAACAACATGGCTGAACTGCACGTCGTGGAACCGAGCGGAACTGGCACCATAGGGCAGCCCGAGCACCGCGGCTCCGTGCGCCTGGCTTCGCCCACTCTCATGGTTCCTCAGCGGGGCAGCCAGCTCAGCCCCGGCCCGGTGTCCAGCGGCGGCGGCAGCGGAGGAGGAGGAGGAGGACGGTCGGTGTTTGGGTTCCCGGGGAAGAGCAACCCCGTCTCCCCGTCCGAGCCGGCGGACAAGCCGGGATCACGATGGGTCCGGCTCAACGTCGGTGGGACTTACTTCATCACGACCAAACAGACGCTGTGCAGGGACCCGAAGTCCTTCCTGTTCCGTCTGTGTCAGGAGGACCCAGACCTGGACTCGGACAAAGTGAGTCTGCTCAACTCTTTATACTGACTCAAGGAGAAGCGCCATCCAGTATTTACAAACCAACCTGGTGAAATGTCAGAGAGGAGATTTCATCTTTTCTTAACTTAAATGTCTGATTATTTATTAATTCACACTCTCACCAGAGTCCAATATGTAAAGCTCCAGATTTAACCGCACGTGCTTGTTGTAGCTGCAGTCCAGGCTGATGTCAAAACACAAATAACAAATAGACATGTGTATTAGTGGAATAGTTCATGCACAGACACAAACAAAGCACCTAATCAATGTGAACAGCAACATTAATGAAAAACAAGGTGACATCTTTGACTTTTTGATGTTTGAATTTCTAAACTTCAGGGAGTGATGATGGATCCAGTTCTTTTCTACAGTGATGTAAATCTGTGGCAGGCACCGTGTCTGGAGCGCAGACCATCCTCTGCTAACATCATGAAAAATTAATAAGCTTTTATAATATAGAACATTTACAACAGTCTCTTATTTCAGATGGTAAAGTACGTGCTCACAAGGATTTTAGAGTTAGAGTTAATCTCTCCACCAAATATAACTCAAACATATCTTTGACACATCTCTTCTGAAATTCTGTTCACTCTGGTTTGTTGTGTTCCTGCAGGACGACACAGGAGCCTACCTGATCGACAGGGACCCCACATACTTTGGTCCCATCCTGAATTACCTTCGACACGGAAAACTGATCATGGATAAAAACTTGGCAGAGGAAGGTAAAAAAAAAAAAAAAAAGTCTTGATTTCCTGCTGCAGTCGTCGTGTTGAACAGATCAGTGATGTCTGATGGTCTGTTACTGTGGGTGTTTCAGGAGTTCTGGAGGAAGCAGAGTTCTACAACATCGCGTCACTGGTGAGGCTCGTTAAAGAGAGGATACGGGACAACGAGAACCGGACATCTCAGGTACAGAAAACAGAAGAGGAACATGTGAGATGACTGAGAATAGAATTGGCAGATGAATCTGTAAACCTGACTTTCTTCTGTACAGATAAAACCAAACTAGCTTTTTGTTTGTTCAAGCCGATTTAAAGAAAAAAAGTGTTTGTGTGCAGATTGTTGTTGTTTGAGTAACAACTTGTGTGTGTGTTTGTCTTTGTCGTGTCCCTCAGGGTCCCGTGAAGCATGTGTACCGAGTACTACAGTGCCAAGAGGAGGAACTCACACAGATGGTCTCAACCATGTCGGACGGTTGGAAGTTTGAGCAGGTGCAGAAAACAAAGCTTCTTTTTTTTTTCCTGTTGTCATGATTTAGTTTTGAGACTTTTCTATATTAAAAGATTAAACAAGAAAAATCTGTTAGAAACAGGAGAGAAGCTGGAACCAGTAAATTTGTGGATAAAAAAGATGTTTCTCCCGTTTTATTATTTCCTGCTGAATAATTATTAATTAATTAGTTGATTGTTTCAGCTGCAGGGTTAGGGACCAGTTTTGTGCAGGTTTTTGTATCTGCAACCAAACTCTATATATAACTTCTATAAATGATATGTTGTGTTACATGTGGTCACCAGCTGTTGCTATTTCTTCAGTGAAGTTTTTTTTCTTGTCCACGTCCTCAGCTCATAAGTATCGGCTCCTCATATAACTACGGCAACGAGGACCAAGCAGAGTTTCTATGTGTAGTTTCCCGGGAACTCAACAACTCCACCAACGGCATCGTCATCGAGCCCACCGAGAAGGCCAAGGTGAGCGACCGCGGACGTTACAACCCCCCCCCCCCCCCCCACTCCCACTCGTTTGTTTGTTTGTAAGCAAGGTTACACAAAAACATCCAAACTCTCCGAAATACGTTGGATCAAAGAAGATCTTTAGGGAACTAATATGTATCTGCGTGAAATTTGGTGCAGCTTGATTGAATTTAAGGAAACTGTTGAGCCCTGGCGGAGTCATACGCAGTGCAGTTATTATTATTATTGTGGGTTTTGGTCTTTTCAGGGGGTTTCTGATTGATGTATGCTGATGTCACGTCGAGATGTTTGTGGTTTAGCATCTTGTCAGTTTCGGTCTCGATGTTCGTCTGACTGAGATCCAAGGGGCACAACTTTCAACCACATCCTCTCACTTTGCTGCAGCTTTTGCAGTTAAAGATAAAAACAAGAGTTTGGACACATGCTCAGTCGATTGTCTGTCACTTTGATGTTGCTCTCTCTAATGATTAATTTATTTTTATTTATTTCTCCTGTGTTCTCACAGATCCTGCAGGAGCGAGGCTCGCGGATGTGAAGAGAGAAAGAATACTTTATCAACAAAAACAAACATAAACCTTTTCTCCATGAGTTAACCCCCCCACCCACCACCACCACCTCCTTTCTGCCATCACTAACATCCCCCTCCACCCACCCCCACCCTCCTCTGGTGTGCCTTTCCACAGCGGGGGCCCCTGACGCCTGCCCTCTCCTGCAGTGCTGCATCTCGACCCTGACCTGTCTTGTCATTTCTTCTCCTCCATCGCCGGCCGTGGAGCCCGTGAGGAGGAGTCTAAACGAGATTTCATGTGAGCAGTTGTCCTCATAGCAGCTTTTTGATGGTCAGTGTCGCGGCGGCGCAGGCTAAGGTGCTGAATGTAGCCTCTTGTTGTTGTGAGTGGATGGAGGCCCAGCACAGAGCTACTACTCATCATCATCTTCATCGATACTCGCATCCACATCATCACCGTCGAGACAGGAAGCTCGCTCGCTCTGATACATTTGGCTCCGTCGACTACGCAGAAACCTCCTCAGGACTCTCAAAGGACATAAAGGAATGAACACAACTCCACTGACTGAGCCTCCCTCTTACCCTGAATCTGTTAACGGAGCAGAAATCGACCCGCCCGCTGTCTCCCAGACTCCTCGGCTGACGTCCGAGGCGAATCACGGCACAACAAACCGAGCCAGGTGGTCCAGAGGTGCAGGACAAGACAGAGCCGTTGCAGGCAGCACGACGCGGAGTCCGATCGCTCTGTTTGCCCGGTGCAGCATTTCCTCTACATTGTCGAGTCTTTGGAAACAGCTGAGACGAGTGACAGATTTTCATCTTTCAGGTGCCCTGTCTTGAATCGAGTCACAGCACCTTGCTCCTCCTGTTTCCTGTCTTTAGGCTCGATTTGATCTTTTCCCACGGGGAGTAAAGTTTGGGAAATTTTAGCGCAAAGCAAAAACGAAGACTCAAAAAGACTTCACCTGTGTACAATCTGTCAAGGCATGTGAGGAATCTATATAAATCTATATAGGCTACATGATGAAATTATATGAAAAATTGAATGCAAATGGTGTAATTATTGGTTTCTGTATCATAGTTGTTACATATTTACATATTCTGGTGGGTGAGTTTATCTAAACGGTGGAGAAAATATCTGTTTCCCTGGAGGTTTCGCAGCCGCTCACATGTGTGTGAGCACGTGTATGCAGTGCCTCTCTGCTTTCTGTCCACGACTGAAATATCACACGTTTTTCTGCTGCACGTTTTCTGTAGTGTTCCTCAAAAAACAATTGTCACCACGTTCTCTCTTAAATATCCTAAGTTGATCTCTTGCATATCTTAAAATTGTAATTAGGGACAAGGAAAACTACTTCCTGTTGCTGCCATTTGTCCTGACAAGCGCGGCGTGGCAGGGAATCGGACAGTGGCCAGTCATGCTGCCTCAAAACCCTGAGGCACCCGACTCTCCCCGGCCCGTAGCTCACGCTCATATTCAGTCACTTTGTATCCGCCTCTGTTGCCGCTCCTCACCTCCGCACCCGGGCGACTGTGTTGTCTTACGTTCTGCAGCACTTGTAGCAACTGTGGCGAAAGCTGAATTGTTTGTGCTTACGGCCCCGAGATGCCTGAGTTCACTCAGTCACAGAGATGTATGTTCTGTCAGCGAACCTGTCAGATTGGACGCGTTGGTCCTGGTTTCGGAGGGAAGCCTTTATTTCAGACGTCATGTGATTTCTCTCTGCCAGCACGTGGGTACTAACGTGGCTAAAGAACATTTCTCTTGAAATACACTTTGCATTCATTTGCCATGTGATGATGCTGCTTTTAAGACTCGTAACAACATTGGACCAAAATGCAAATACAGCGCACAGCATCCTGGTTCTAACCCTGATTGTGAAAATGAATCGTTATCAGGACGAATATATACAAATATGTTTTCAATTTAAAGTTCAACAGCATTAATGAGGTTTATGCAAGATTCAAATTTAGCTTCAGATGTGTAGTTACCAAAACTGGGCTGAAAGAAACTAGAGCTGGAGCACTGGAGACGTCTCCTTGACTTTGTTTTTCGACAAATGAATCTGTTGATCAGTAAAATAATCACCGTGTTAGTTTGGAATGAAGATAATCAGAATCAACCAAACTATGTCTGCACCGAAAGGTTATTTTCGTTTTTCAATAATGAATTGCTCATTCTATGAAAGAACAAACGATCTCCGCCTCTCTGAAACCGAGGTGATGTCTTCAGATGTCTCGTTTGTCCATCAATGACTAAAAATGTTAAATTAATATTAAATGTGAGTTTCCTGTTGTTACTGGTGTAAGTGCAGCCGTGTTACACGAGCAGCTCAATGCAACGTTTGAGTCATATTCACACATATCGTGCAGACTGGACTTTTTATCAGTGCACCTTTTCGTCTGAGGGGCGTCCAGTCCTCGTGTGGCCGACACCGATCACTTTGATACGCCCCCTTTTGTATGAAGAGCATATTTGATGCGGTTGTGTTATATCAAGCATGGACAAGAAGAATGCGTTTAATGGGGAAGTGTTTTTCGTCATGCTCTGTCAGCCCTCGGAGCTCGAACTTTGATGTGACTTCTTCTTTCTTGTTTTATTTTTTCACTCCCCCTCTCGAGTGTGTGTCGTGCAGTTTTCTTCTTCTTCTTCTCCGATCAGAGTCGTGTGCAGACTGCGTGTTCTGTGGAAAATGCCCGACCGTCTCATCGAGGAGCACTTTTTTTTCTCCCTGGTGTTTTTCCTCTCTGGGCCTTTTGCAAAGCACCTTGGGTGTTGTTTCCCTGTGTCTGTGTCCAGTGTTGTGCCTTTGACCTGTGTTGTGCACAGTTGTTCCCCCCTCTTATCAGAAGGTGCCTCGCATACCTTAAAAAAGCCAGGAGGCACCTAACCCGAGGTAAAATGTATGATGCGGTCTTTAGTTTGGTTTCTGTCGTTAGTGTGTCCGTGAGAGGCGAGCCAAACAATTCATTACCCCCTGCATTGTTTCAAGTTTTACTCTTTAACTACGAAATGAAAAAGGTAAACAGCTGCTTCCTTTGTGCCAATGCGTTTGAGTTAAATCCACACACGATCCTGTAAACTCCCAACTCTGCTGTCAACCCTTGTGGTTGGTTTGCAGAACCTGTGGCTGGGAGGGAAGCAGGGTAGTCCAGTCAAAGAGGGTTTTCCCTCCTCTGCTTTTATCTTAGTAAAACTCCAGCAGTGCACTTGTTATCAGAAATCCATCTGACTAGAGACTCCACGTTGTTTTGGCTTCACCTTTCCCTCTGGTTGCATGCTGAAGCCACCTCCACAGATCCCATTTTTAGATGTATGTAATCAAACTTTTAAAGCACTTACTGTACCTGTAAACCTTTGTGAACCCAGTTTGATCTTAGCCTTGGTTGCATAGTTCAGTGGTTCCCAACCTTTGGGGCGAGAGGAAGAACACATTTTGACCTATTGTTCCTTTTTTATTAGTCATGCTGTCGGTCCACCTCTTTGGTCCAAACTGAAATGTACAGGGATTCATGGTCTCCATAGGTTGAACCTGGACCTGAACTAACCCCATCACTTTTAATATCACTTGTTAATCTGCAGATGTTACAGAGCTGACGCAGCCTTTCACGGGTGGCGTTTGCTGAAAACTCTTTTCTTGTGAATTGTCAGATGATTTTACTTCTTCGGGGATAAAGTGGAACAGTGGGAAATAAATCACTGTTTCCTTGAACTGGTCACACCTGGTGAATATATGCAACTTGTGATGAAGCCTTTGATTCAAAGCCTAAAAGGTTGGGTACCACTGACGTAGCTGAACTTTGCAGTGCGGTTATCGTAACATTTGACTCGAGCAACCGTTTTTTTTTTTTTAAACGAGAAAAGAAATTTTGATTAATAGACTTTACTTTCACCTGCACTCGTCAAAAGATAATGTGCAGTTTTAACAAATCAGCAAAAAAATTATACTTATACATACATACATATACATATATATATGTATGTATGTTGTTTGGGCACGTGAAAACATGAGAGCATGCGTTGTTCTAGAGATTATGATGTTGTGTACTGGATTTTGTCCGACCTCTGTGGTAGTGCAAAGTGTATGTGATGCATGGGGGGAGCAGAGGGACGGCATGGCTCTGTGGTTCGTAGGTGTAGATTTCTTGTGTGAAACAGTTGGTCTACAACATATTCTCTATTCACATGTTCCGTTCCTTTGTCGTTTTTTGTATCTTTGACACGTAAACAGTAGATAAAAGAATAGCTAGCTTCGAAGACAAATTAACCAATCAGATCGCACACACCCCCTTACCCCTCCGCCTTTCCCCCCCACCCACTTCCGTTTGTATAGCATTTACGTGACCCGCAGGTCAACACACAGAAAGAAAGATTTCTTTTAATTCATGGGTCATTTTGCCAGTTAATCTGTAAACACCTGCATGCGTTTGTGGGACATGCACACTTGTACTCTCATTTAGACGTACTGAAAAATGTCACCTATTTACACTTTTGTGTTCATTTATCAGCAGTATTGATGTCAAATGTGAATATCGTCAGCGGAGACTGTGGAGAAACGTTCGGAAGCTGACAAAACATTTTGTCCGATTGTTTATTTCACTCTTATTTATTTTGTATTTTTTGAATTTTGTCTACCAATGTTGTTTCTTTACATGTAACGATTTTGACAGAACCCGGTCTGGTTTTTAATCATAAAATGTGTCTGTGTTTTAAAATGTGGTCGTTTGTCCCTTCTGTTCAGTGTGGGGTTAAAATGATGAAACAAGATGAGCAGAGTGAAGGTCTTCCATTGAGAAGTTTAAATAAGGATCAATACACTCAAATCTCCAAAATAAAGATGCAGAAGTATCCGTATTCTTAGTTATTTTCATTTGAGAGTATTTTAAATATAGATGTAGTGTTAAGCCTGTTTTTTTCTTTTGCCACGGTGTTGAAAGCAGCAGACAAGCACCTGAACAACAACGACCAGAGGAACGTCACAGGGTCTCAGGTTCATCTGTCCGTCACTGCAGCCGAGGAGAAGTTAAACCAGTGGAGGTCAGCAGATGCAAGATTTCCAGGAACTTAACTTTCAGTAAAATTGTTGGGGAAAATACTCTGATGTAAGTAAAAGCAGCTTCAATCCAACACAGGTCAGCGAATGATGCTTCAGTATTAAGTTTCAAAATGATGATGGATCATAATGGTGTGTTTACTCTTGTTGAGGGTTAAGAACAGAGGACGTTAAAGCCCCATGAGACAAATTGTGATTTGTGAATATGGGCTGTACAAATAAAATGTGATTGATTTATTGAAAATTTAAAACACACATAACATTAATATAATATGGAGCTAATGCTATCATGTCTAGTGCATCATATGCATCATCATGTATGATATTGTATTCTATCCATCTATCCATCCATCTATCTGTCTATTTATCATCTATCTATTTATTTATCTATCTAGCTATCATCTATTTATCTATTTATCATCTATTTATCTATTTATCATCTATTTATCCATCCATCATCCATCCATCGTTGTAAGAAATAATAATAAGATATTGGTCGATTTCTACTTTTCCATAATATTGGCTCCTTCCTCTCCAGACCTTGTCCACCGTGTCCCTGACAGACCGTGTGTCCACCATCGCTGCTCCTCCCGTGGAGCCCGGGGCCTCCATGTGCAGCTCCTCTCTGCCGCCCTGTGAGCGTCTGTGTCCGGCCTCTCCAGGCTCCTCCCACCGTGAACGGGCCCGGTGAAGAGCAGACCCCCGCGGTCAGTCCGCCGCCGCCTCCTCCTCCTCCTCCTCCTCCCCACCGGCTGTCATCGAGCAGCGACCGCGCCCGTGGACCCGGAGGATCCGGTCAGACGCAGACAGACGGTAAGAAACGATGTCAATAAACGTGGAGACGATTGAATCCCCGGGAGCGGTGAGCGCTTCCTCTTCATTCCGAAAGTGCCGAGGCGGAGATGAGGAGGACGCGAACCCACCGCCGAGGGAACTCGGCGTGTTTATGCACATTTCGGTTCATTTCTGCGGGGATGCATGAGCAGTAAGCCCGGGTGGATGTGTCGGTGTGTGGACGAGAGCTCCGTGGGGGGGGGGTTCAGACGTAAACAAGCCGAAAAAACAATCTGCCACGTGGGTGAATGTGGGTGTCACTGGCGAAGCTGTGGTGAAGAGTCAGTATCTGTGTGTTTGAATCATGTGTACGTGCTGAACCCCGCGGGACTCGAACCTCTCGCTCCTCCACGGGCTGTCCCACCGGACCCAGCAGCTGCTCAGCGTCCCTTCTGTTCGTCCTGGGACACACAGAGCATCACTTCTCCCCACAGACTCTACATCGTGGTCTTTAAACTGGGAGCTCACACATCCTGCACCTCCTGGAAATATTATACTGTGTTTATTATCTCAACATGGAGAACCCCCCCCCATCTAGAATACTGGGCCAAGCTATGTTTGCACAGGAAGGTAGTTTGACTAAATGTTACCTACTTAGATTATACAAGTTCCACCTGTGAACAAAACACCTTTCTCATATTTCTGATCATTTGCTGACCTTGTTCCCTGAGCTCCATAGTTCCTCACTGTTTTTTCTTGCCCTGCCTCAGAGATGTTCTCAGGAGGATTTTTCTCCTGCTCAGCGGTCGGTACATCTGGACGGTGTTAAACGTCTCCAGGGGAAACTCTGCCGAGCGTTTTGCACAGAGCGTTATTCATACGAGGAGTTTTCTCACGAGCGCATGTCAGCCTCACTCTGGCCAGATTTCCTTTGCATCCACACGTTCGTGTTTGTCCTCGCACCCATCAGACGCCTCCTTTGTTCAACGCTGTTGCTCACAGTTTGACCTCCAGGCTGTTTCCTGATTGTAAATTAAACTGAAGCAATGATGTTAAGGCCGGAGAGAATCGACCGGAAAGGCTGCAGCTCATCTGGGATTACACTCTGCACCAGAGACCAGCAGCCGGAGGGCAGATCTGGGTCTGAATTAAGTTTCTCCAAACATTCGAGTTGTATAACAAACTCTGGAGCATTAAGATTCAGTCATTGCTCTCATTTCAGGAAGCACAAACTTTAGTTTTATTCATTTACTTTACTTTGGAGCAACTGTTTTACCGTTGCTTGTGTAAAATCTACAACAATACACGGACACTTGGTTTCTCTGGCAGAGGGGCGTCATTGTCCTGTTTTTTTAGTGTGTGCCAATTTCCAAACACAGCCTGATGTTTGCTGACCAGCAGCTTCGACTGTCACATGGTCCGAGAGGAGACAGAACTGAGACTTCTGTCTCTCAGCTCTGCTTCTAAATATGTTTTTAAGTCAGCGCCACACGACAACCACGATATTCTACCTGCGCCACACCAGCAGAGACAACATCAGCAAATGGCAGCTGAGGAGATTAGATAAACTTTATTGATCCCAGGAGAATTCACTTGTTTACAGCTGCAGAAAATGAAAGTGAAAATACAAAGTGGAATAGAAATGGTAATGAATAGAGATAAGTATATAATATACATGTTTACTAACATACAACACATTTAAGCTTTTAGGTTTCGAAGTTTCAAAGTTTTAGTTTTTATATTTAAGCACTTGATGAAGAGTGGAACATGTGTGTTCTGCAGTGAGTTTTCCAAGTTGTACAGCTCCTCTTTTTCATCCCGACATATTTGTGTTCTTCCAGTTCCACGTCCGTGACGTGTTAGGAGCCTTTTAGAAAGTTTTTACCTGGGGTCTGGCAGGAGAAACCCGTAAGAAACCATTTCAGAAGAATATCTGGAGTTCAGCGCACGTCTGACGGAGGTTTCCTCTTTCTGTTGCAGGTTCTGTACATGCAGCGGCCGCAGCAGTCACAGTGACATGGACATCAGAAGAACCGACACACCCCGCAGAGCTGACACAGGAGCCTGGCCTGAACTGCCGAGCACAAAATGACTCAGAGAAATGGAATCGGAGGGACGAGCGATCACCTCCTTCACTCGGGGTCCGGCGGTGCTTGTGCGCAGGCCAACAGCATGGAGCACGAGAAAGCCCAGGAGCCCCGGGACTGTGAGTCCGAGGCGGGGGGCCAGGGAGGAGAGCGCGGGGACTCGGTGGCTGTGAGGGGGGCGGTCACGGCTCCAGACGGCGGCTGGGGCTGGGTGGTGCTGGTTGCCACCATCTTGGTCCTGGCTCTGACCTTGGCCTTCCCCTCCTGTGTGGGCATCTTTTACACCGACTTGCAGAATGATTTCCACGCCTCCAACAGCGAAACGTCCTGGGTGCCCTCCATCATGACGTCGGTGCTTCACGCAGGAGGTAACGCAGACAGACCCGGAGAAACTCAGGGTCACACAAGAAGTTATAATCCACAGTCTGTTCCTTCTCAAAGATAACTCTTCAGTGAAACACACTTTTCATTCGATGAAACGCTCGCGGTGGTTTCGCTGCTGTGATCAGAATTATCATTCTGACCTCTCCTCTGCTTGTTTTAGTGTTTATCATTAACCTGTCGTTACCCCTCGTGGTCACAGGGGGCGCTGTTCAGCCACAGCTACACCAGCCTCATTCTCTGGGACTTAAACACACAATTCTTCAGGTTTTGTTCAATTTATCCACCTTTACTTTTTATTTTTGTGCAGCAGATATGTTTGCATAATGAAAATCCTGCTCACGAGACAAACTCTCTGATAGAGACACATTCCCGAATGACCTCAGACTTGATATTTTTAGCTTCTCTCTCACTCTACCTGACTCTTAATCTGCAGGATTGTGATTTAAAAACGTTTTTGTTCCTTGTGTGTTTAAAAAAACAAACAAATATCAGAGTGTGTCTGTATTTTTCTCATGAAGCTCCGTCAGTGCACGAGTCATCATTACTGCGCGTTATCTCTGTCAGTCAGTAATGTCAACTTCCCTTTTCTGTGATGCTCATGAGCGTTATGTAACCTGCATGAGAACAGGAAGGTAGTGTGGGCTGTGCAAGGTTGGTCAACTCAGCCAAGTGCGTTTAAAGTGAACGTCAGTGCTGGTGATAAGATCTCAGATAACAAATCATAGCACGCGTACAATTTTCATGTTGTAGATTTTTCTGTGGGGTTTATTTTGATATTCAACCCGTGGACACATTTACCTGAAGAGATGTTAGTCTGAAACAAATAACACAGTGTGAACGTTCGCTCCTGGTCGAAAAACATTCAGGTGAAAGTTACTTCATGGTTTGTTTGTTGTTGTCTCTATGTCAACACACGTCATCCACATGTGATGAGACTGTTTTGTGTTTTGCATTTTACCAAATTTTTAATTGAAGCTGACGTTTCTAGCTTTCTGTTAGTGTTGGTAAGTCTATGTAATGTCCTTGGAAGTCATAGGGACACAACTCCGTGCGTGTGCGTGCGTGCGTGCGTGCGTGCGTGCGTGCGTGCGTGCGTGCGTGTGTGTGTGTGTGTGTGTGTGTGTGTGTGAGAGAGAGAGAAAGTTCTCAGGGTTGTTAAAGACAGAAAGGCTTTGATCTAATCTCCTGAGTTTTT